ATAGACTGTGTTGAAAGATGGATGGAACAACTTTTTCCTGAAAGTGAAGCCAAAATATTCTGACATCCTGCTATTGACTTGCTGCAGTATAGGTTATAAGCCCCGCCTCCTCCATGTTAAAAGATTGAGAATGGGTCAAACTATGAAATCAAAATACACATCAAATAATTATATAGACATTTTTTCTATAACATGGATTGTGTCATCAATGTTAGTCCTTATCATGATGATTTATGTTCAATGTTTATGTTGGTTATTTTTCTGAAAAGTTTACTTTAAATATTGATGCTTAAGAGAGCGGATGTCATAATTGACAAATATGTCTCGTGTGGTGCTGTGTGCACCGAATAAGCGGAGAAGAAGAATAGTGAAATAGGATAGCATATTAACACAAAAGTAATTCAACTTCCCGTAAACATGAGTGTCTGCTTCAAACCGACACAAGAATCTGCTATGTGGTATTGCTGTCTTTTTGCGTTTTATCAGTACGTTAAATATCTGTTTTTATTAGTGGATGTTGCAGGTCTTGGCTCCAAATGTCAACAGAGCAATATGTCACTGCCCATCGGTGGGTTAAATTGTCTTAATGTTTTTGTATTTGCATAAGAAGAGGAGGTTTAATCACATCATTCACTGGTATCAAAATGTGTCAATTAGCTAAACACACAATTATTTTAATCTAATTTACAATGCTTATACTTAATGCTTATACTTAATTCTTATTCTTAAGCATACTTAAAACTCAGAAGCACGTAGCTGACATTTGAAAACAGGTTTAAATATGCATTTTTTTCTGTATAGACAAACAATTTCACATGAATAAATACTAATGGTATCAGGGCATGTTTTGACGCATATAGTTAAGTTTCATTCTCTGCTGACCCTGCAGGCTGGAGGTCCCCACTACACATTTTTTTTATTACTTATCAAGATTAGAATTCTGCAGCAGACTAAAACCAAAACACGCAGCCAATCTGCTTTGCTCATTCATCTGCGAAATGTTAATCTGCCATAATGTTTTCGAGGCACAGCACTTTCTGTTAACCATGGTGACATAAGGCAGAGTCTGTGCTTGTATTGGCTGTAGGACTTCTTTTAATGCTTTACTGATGGACACAGGTTTATTGTGCTACTGTCTGTAAAAAAATTCTCACAATGAACAACTGAAGTGTTTCACAAGCATTGCAATAAAATGTGATAGTTAAAAGCAAATTAACGCTCAGTCTCCCTCCACATTTGTCCCTAGTTGCATCGACTCTTTCCCCACAATCCTCTCTTTCTCTTCTCTGTCTCTCTGTCACTCTTGGTCCATTTCATTTTACATCAATCATCACTTCTGCCTCAGCACTTTCCCACTGTGGTACTTTTTGTTACAGAGATATGGACTTTTTGACTGTGTGAAAAGAGCCAGGCCAGTTAATTTTTTCACATCTGGCCTCATGGAATTAATGCATTAATGTGTCTTTTTTTTAAAAAATGAAGTAAAGACAGAGCAATCCAGCTGTCTCTCTATCTCTCACTGTGTCTCCCTCCTCCCTCTGCCACATGGATGACAGCTCCTCTTATCGCACAGATTAGATGAGTGGCCAAAGAAATGAGCAGGAATATGGCTCACTGTATGTATGTTCATTGGTGCGTGTTTGGTTCTGTTTAGCCGTGTGTGCATCTATTAATGGTTGTCTTTCTATATTTGTATGTCTGTCTCTGTCTGTGCTTCTCTTTGTCTACACTGACAGATTTCTGTCCAGCTGTGTAGGGCCATTTGTGTCTGCATGTATGTCCTGTCTGTGTAGTTGCATGCCAACATGTGTGTTTGAATCTGCACGTGTGTGTGTGTGTGTGTGGGGGTGGGGGGGATGCTTGTGTGCGTATGTGAGGTATGTGTGCATGCACTGGGACACACTAGAGGAGGAGCTGATGGGCTAAGTGCCATTACAAGATAATTACAGCTAAAAGTCTCCATGCTAACAAGGACGCCTCATCATCCCTGTGCTGGCAGAGAGGCCCCAAAAAACATCTGCAATGCAAATTAGGAACACTTGTGTGTGTCAGAGTGTGTTTGTGTGTTTTTATCCACCTATGTTCTTTTTTCTCGTTTTTTTTTTTTGTAGGTTGTATGTTGACAGGATTCCTGTGAAGTAGAGATTCTCTTTTTCAATAACAAACCACTCTTTTAGTATGTCTTGGCACGAGAGTGTACACACACACATGCATACAAAAACTGTACATCAGGAGCCCACTGTGAGTTGAGTTGGAGGGCATCCATACACACATAATGCTTGTAATGGGATGCTCTCTCTCCTTACTGCCTGATATGGACTTATTCCCATTTTAATGTTGAGGGAAGTCAGCTAAAGGAACATAAACATGTCTGAGGTGCAATTACACAAACACACCAAAGCAGATATCCTGACCTTCTGCGCTGCAGAAGTAATTTGTGAGGCATACATTTAATTAAGTTTTCCACCTGCTGGTTCAGGTGAGGGCGTTCAGAGGCAGAAGAAGCCCAAATCTGATTTGCAAACTGCCAGTTAAGCCTCCATTGTTACATTCCCCTGCCTCCAAACAGCGGTGGATGAGGAGAGAACAACATCATTTTTACTCATTATCCTCTCCTCTACTTCCCTTACTGTGTGGTAATACTCGAGTGTGTGAAGGGAAGTTTAAAAATCCCTGCTATGCAAATACATCTGTACACATGTGTATGAACACAACAGTGTGTATTGTGGTTATGTAATTATTGCAGCCAGAAGAACAAAAAAAAAATCCTTAACACATCATCCACTCATGTTAAGAGCCAATTACTCTCCTGCTCTCAGTGTGTTATTTACGTCCATCTGTTCTCAGTAAAAATACATTTTCCATCTGCTTCAATCAATCAAATAATTCCCATAAAGGTTTATATCATTGTTAAATATTATATGTGTGGAAAGTGTGTTTATTTAGTATGACAATCACAATAAACTTTGTGTTACCCATAAAAAACACGTTTTTATTTTTTACATTCTGGTCAAGTTCAGCTCCACCGGCTCAAAGTGTCCAACATGACTTACACTGGCGTTTAGTTCCACTTAAGCCGTGTGTGATTACACCTTCACTGATTTAAGTTTTCTATCTCCCTCTTATGTCTTTAACTTCATTTTCTTTCACAGAAGAAAGACTGAGAGTAAAATACTGTCTTAATGGAGAATATTTAAGTCCAAATTTTAACCTTTATGTTTTAAAATCTAAAAAACAATGTGTTATAATCACAAACAAAACCACTGGATAAATCTACAGCTAAATAATACAATTCAAGGTTTGGCAATACTAAGTTCTCAATCTGCACAGACAACCATCCCAAAATAAGGAAACGTGATGCCCCAGTAGTCTCATCATGTAATGTTTTCATTGCATTGTCTTGAGGTGTGTCTCTAACCTGTGGTCTTATTGCAGCTCACTAATTAGAGTAACTCAGCACAAGTTACTTAAGCTCCTGGGCCCTGTGTGCTGAGTTACAATGTTTTGTGTGTAGATATTCTGAGTTAAGACATGGATTGATAACAGGGTTTACGTTGTTGATTCTAACACAAATACAACGACATATCACAACAGGCTCTGCACCAGCTCTAGCTCAGATGTGCAACCTGTCAAAAGGACACATATATAAATGCAAGCTAACTGCCTCATTAAAACGGAATACCTGTCCCTGTACAGCACAACATGCACTTCACATTGCATGGTCAAAGAGTGCCATCTAGTGGCCGAAACGCACCACTGGCCTTCTTAAAGTAAAGACTAGATCCTTGTAGAGATTCAATTCAAAATTTAATTAAATTCCTAAGGTGTCAAATTGTGAGGAGGACTTTTAAGCGGCTTAATAGTTTCTCAAGCTGTGGAGGAAACAGAGACATGTTCCTCAAACTCAACATGAAGAATTTTTTTTTTATTGACTCAGTGACTCAAAAAATGTGAAATATGACAAAGTATATTTTTACATGTTGGTTACAGTGACTGAAATGAAAAAAGGCCTTGTATGTTACAGTATAAGTAGTACCAACTGTTTGGGCTGTGTTTTTAATAAACAGTGTTACTCCTTTCCCATCATGGTTATAGGATTGCTCCAAAGCAGTGTGTGGAGACAAACTGGCTGCTCAAAAGGGGGAAAATACAGGAAATGCAGGAAATGCCATATTAGTCAAACAATCAGCTTTTATGTTTAGTGGCTGCAGGCCTCGTCACTGACTCATTCCATCCAGGAAAATTCAGAGGTGAAAAGTTGAAAGCATTTGTATTTGTATTCATAAAGTCTTGCCTGAAAGAGCTGACACTTACTTTTGTATCATAGAAGCTTGTCCCTCTAATACCATGTTTAAAGTGGTAAGCTAACAGGCTGTTTTGTCGTACTGTTGTGTTCCAGGTTGTAAATTTAGGGAATCTAACAAATCATTATCAAGTAACATTGCTTATTTGATAAACAACTGACAAGACTGTTTGTAGCATAACATGATATTGGTTTGTCATATACTTCAAAAAGGTCTTCTGTTAGCTGATGTCTAAACCAGTGAGGTTGCCTTGTCAGCAGTAAGCCACAGGTGACAAAAAGGAATTTAAATAAAAAACCGAAAGCTAGAGATACTTCACAGATAAAGCCAGCTAAGGCCACTAGAGGGCAATTTTCTGTTAAAGGAGGGAGCACTTCAGAGAACGAGGAGGGGAAGTTTCGATGATGGGCCATAGGGACACTCAAAGAACTCAGATGTTTGAATGCTGGTCTATATCCAGCAGTGGAATACTCTTTAGCAGGACATGAAGGCTAGAATTAGAGAGGTGGACGGTGCCTTCATGTAAAAGGTCACATTTAAATAGTTACAGCTGCATACAGCTTTTGTTGTCCTATCCCTGAAACAAACAGAGGACAAACTGTGCCCCAAATGCTGTTTGTAAGTAGAAATACTGCAGGACAAATATTGGCAGGTTTTAGGCACTTAAGAGGCTCAAGGACTGAAAATCATGCAAACTGAGAGATCTGAGAAATTTATTTTACCATTTGGAAAGACAAATTCATCTCCAGCAAGTGAAACAACCAAAATATATTTTTCAGAGAAATATTTATTCCCTCTCACCAAGTGTTATTCACTGAAACGGAAAAAAAATCACAGGAAATTATTATTCTTTCTTAAGTTGGCCTGTAAAGTCATCAAGTTTGGTCATCTACTGCTTGAACATGATTTCTCTGGATGACAAAAAAAATCACTTCACCTTCACCCCTTCTTTTCTTTTTCCACTAAAAGACCAAGGGCTGACAACGCCAGCGCCATTTTCAACTTTTTATCAGACATCATTCTCGATTAGAAGGCTTCCTAAAATACAAGAGGTGCGCAACAGTGGTATGAAAATGGTCTTCTGGTATCATAACAACGAGCTACCGCCGCCCCTCACGAATGCACAGAAGGTACATGGCGGTTGGCCGTCGGCTATAGTCTTTGAGGTGTGTTCTAGTGCAACTTTTTGGCCAAGACATGAGGCAACACCACAAGGGGCCTCCGTCACCACTAGTTCTTTGGCGTCTGCATGGTGTGTCAGGGCCTTAATAGGGAGAGAAGACTCTAATCAAAATGTTAGAAGAATTTACACTGGATACCTCACTCTCCTCATTTCACCAAACACCTCAGAAACACCTTTTAAGAATATACATTATTTTAACCCCTGCAATTAATTTCTTAAAGGGGCTATATGTTACTGCTGCAGTTCGCCTGACAGCCACGCGGTATCGCTACAAACACAGTACTTTTTAAAGTTACATATAGCTCCTTTAAAGTTAATATTGGGGGAAAGGTATATTTCGTGATTTTGACATTTGAACTTTAGAACATCTGATTTTTGATTCTGAATACACAAGATCTTTGAAGGATTTCTGAGAAAGATTTTAAGTCACCAAAGTTAGAATATAATCAAAGATGGAATTCTAATGGAGAATAAAAAAAAGAAAAAGTACACCGTTCCCTGATTATTTTGGACAAACAGTACAAACATAAATGCAGATTCTTTCTGTAGAAGTCAAACCAAGTTTTTTCTTTGTCTTCATGAATTAATGAATAACTTAAATAATAAATAAAAAATGCACTTACATTTAAATTAAACAAGTGAGATACAAACATATGATCTAACACCCTGCTGTGCCTGACCAATCAGAGACATTCAGCACTGCAGGGGCTGCATGCCCTATTGTAAAAAGTCCCATGACCTTCAGAAAAAACATAATGTGTGTGAACAAAATTAATGGGATTTTTACTTCCGGCACCACACTGTTGAGCTCTATAGTTTCTTGGGTGGAAACGGGGCTTTTGTGTCCATTCATTTAAAAGAACATGAAAGACTACACGAGTGATTCGCTTAACCCTGATAGTACAAAGAAGGCACTTTGATTCTGTTCCCTCAGTAGTCCATGGGTCTACCTTTTTCCTTGTTGACAATCTCCCAGATAAAGCTTGAGCACCCCCTGACTGTGCAACCGCAACAAGAGCTCAAACTCAGTGGACATGGCATGGACATTTGTTTTAGGTGCTTTGTCATCATAGTAGTGGTGCTTCAAGTCATAGAGTCCATAGGGGTGATTACTGTAGGGCCAGAACCCATACAGATGCACATTTTTGCAGACCTCCAAAGCTATGCTAGCCATAATTAGCCCGGTGCTCAGCCGCACTGATCGCAAGCCTTGTGCGCGCCAGAAGTCAGCCAGACTTTGGAGGTACTCAGGGTTAAAGTAGACGGGCTTCATGGGGCTTCCAAAGTCCTCAATAGTGTAGGTAGCCCGCAGACATACAGGAGTGTTTGAGAGAAAGGAGAACATGGGAAGGAGTAGCAGGGAGTTGCCGTAAATATGCAGACTTTCCACAAACGGACGACGACGCCCCATCAGAGACCCATACCTGGAGACAAAACAGCAGATATAAAGCAACAAGACAAAATAACTCTGTAATGACAGTGAAGTGAAATCCAGCCTCTTGCTCACTTATTCATGAGGATGCTTGGGTTCGCTGTCACAAGGTCCGTTTTGACACCAACATCCTTCTCGTAATCATTTCCCAAAGGAGGAAGGTTGCACCTGAAGAAGAAAGAAAACAAGGCAGAGATCATTTTTTATGGAATCTCAACATAAATGATTTTTGATACTGTGAGTTGACGTTGTAACCATGATGGACACCTTTCTCACCTCATGACAAACTGAGCTGAATCAATTCTCTCTCCACAGCTGCTATCAGTCAGGATTCCTCCGTTCCCGACAACAGAACACGTGTCCCATATTTTATTTGAGAAAGGATGCTCCTGGAATTGTAATCAATGGTTATGTATTACTAGACAATGACAATTATACTGATTATATACTACAGTAGATCAAAACACCTGCTGGATCTCCTTTGCAAATGTTTCCCTCTTGGAAATCCCCTGCAGCAGGCACCCCTAAAAGAGGTTGCCAGCTGAAAAATGAGTGCTCGCTGGAAGTCTTCAGGTTTTCATTTCGAACATCTAATTGGGCTTGAAACTTTTTTAATGGATAAATGCAGCAGTATATGACTGTGAAGTATACTGGCATATTTAAACTTGCTGATGACGCAGTTGTTCAGTTGCGTCGGTAAGCGTTAAGGGGAACATTTCCTGAGATTTGGATTGAGAAGAGTTCTTCACTTCAAATTTATTGATTAGTAGTGGCAAGAGTTACAAATACCTCATACGTTTTCACAGTCAAAGTCTGCTCGGTTGTCAACCTGTTTCCAGTTGCAGCATAACAAAGTACACATTGTTGGATTTTGTTTCAGCAACTAGCAATAATAAACTGGATTGCCATGAAACTTTGTACAGAAAATGGCAATCCCCTCACAATATTTGAAATACCTTAGCAATCCCTCAATTTTTTTATCCAACACGAGCACAACAACATCCACCATGTCCAGAGCCATGCACCGAGGAGAGTAAGAAAGCTTCAGTTTAGACCTGCTTAGTGTCACTTCCTCTAGCTGCAGAGCACAGTTAGCACACAGCTAGTGATACTATCAGCTGGCTCAAAGGACAGGGATTGTATTAACAAAGGAGCTCTGTTAACCCTTCAGCTATAGCTCGAGGCAGGTGTGTTGCTGTGTGCTGTTAATATTTGCACGTGTGACATGGTATACGTATAACTTGTTGTTATTAATTGTATTATTAGTCTCTTTTTGTATTTATTTTGTTTACATATTACTTGTGTGTCCAGTGTTTCCCACACAAATACGATACCTGGGCCCAAGTATATTTCCGACCTGTTCTCATTTATTTTTTTATTTATTCATAAAATTGCTGCGTGCGTGAGAGAGCGAGAGGTAGCGGGGGAGAGAGAGAGAGAGAGCGCGTGAGAGTGCAGGCGCTCGTTCTGCAGGCTCGGTGCTAACAACACGGCTTTATTATAAGTCTCTGTGTTCAACATAGCAAAACTGCCTTTTTTAAAAAAATCCCTATCGACTCCTACGCAGTGTTAAGACAGCAAGAGAGCAGAATCACATCAGCTTCAGAGCTACAGAGAGAGAAATAGAGGGAGGGGGAGCGATAAGGTCCGCTGTCCGTACATGTATCAAAACTGAAGCTTCTCCTGGCTCCGTTTAAATTTTTTTAATGTACAGCTGCTCGCTGCCGATTGTGTGCTGAACTCTAATAAATAACAGAATATCCGTTAATGTAGGCCTACATTAACAGATATTCTGTGTAGGCCGAATGTACAGATATGTAGGTCTACATTAACAGATATTCTGTTAATGGTAGCTGGAGCTAACAGATATTCTATTAATGTAGGTCTACATTAACAGAATATCAGAATATTAACAGATATTCTGTTAATGGTAGCTGGAGCTAACAGATATTCTATTAATGTAGGTCTACATTAACAGAATATCAGAATATTAACAGATATTCTGTTAATGGTAGCTGGAGCCAACAGATATTCTATTAATGTAGGTCTACATTAACAGAATATCAGAATATTAACAGATATTCTGTTAATGGTAGCTGGCGCCAACAGATATTCTATTAATGTAGGTCTACATTAACAGAATATCAGAATATTAACAGATATTCTGTTAATGGTAGCTGGAGCTAACAGATATTCTATTAATGTACCGTATTTTCCGCACTATAAGGCGCACCTTCAATGAATGGCCTATTTTAGAACTGTTTTCATATATAAGGCGCACCGGATTATAAGGCGCATAGAATAGAACGTGTTTACAACTGAACAAGGCTGGGAGATATTGTGAATATATAAATATAAATACGTATAAAACGTAACGTATAAAACTACAAAAACAAAAGTACATAAGACGATTTCCCCAAATAATAAATTATTTCTTTGACGTTTCTCTTAACTCTCAAAACGTAGTTTTATACGTAGTGCATTCACAATAACTCAACGTTGTTCAAACGTTAATGTGCATATTCAAAATATCTCCCAGCCTTGTTCAGTTGTAAACACGTAAAAGAAACACAGTCTGATACCGCTAATTCAAACGTTAGTGCAGGGGTGCCCAAACAGTCGATCGCGATCGACAGGTAGATCGCTGACTGATTCTCAGTCGATCGCGAGATGTTTTGTCAATATAAAATACAATTGTAAAATAGAAAAGTGATTTCAATTTCATCTCATTGCACTGTTTCCCACACACGATACCTGTGTTGGGAGCCCAAGTATACTTCCGACCTGTGTGTATTTAATTTTTCATTTATTCATGAAATTGCTGCGTGCATGAGAGAGCGAGCGGCGGAGATAGAGAGAGAGAGAGAGAGAGCGCGCAAGAGAGAGAGTGCAGGCATGCGCAATGACGTGCAGGTAAAACCGGGGGGGTAAATGTTTTACCAAAAAGTCATATATAGAAACTATGCTACGAGTATTAAGTGCATTTGATGAAGCTGCAGCTACTTTTCTCTGCTCCTCTCTGCTGTCATGACTGTGAGCATCGCGGGGGACGAGACACACCAACAAACAGCGCAAACGCACACACACACACACACACACACACACACACACACACACACACACACACACACACACACACACACACACACACACACACACACACACTTTTTACTTTTAGTGCTACAGCACACAGTTGATCCGTGATCCGTACGGACCGAGGTGGGAACACACGTGACCCGGTCAAACAGTCGGTTGAACTTTACTCCGTTCACTCTCACCATGTCTGCAGCTAATTTAACAAAAGCAAAATCATCTCACAGCAGCCTGCTGTCGTCTGTAGTCTGCATTATTTTTTACAGAACTCTCATTTATTATTTTCTGTTTGTTGTGTGAGTATTAAATGCGTTTGTAGGCTGTTGGTAAAGGCTATGGCTCACTATGTGGACTGGTAGACCTCGGCAGACTGGTAACTTTAAAAGTAGATCTTGGTTCAAAAAAGGTTGGGCACCCCTGCGTTAGTGCATAACTCAACATTGTTCAGTTACGTATAACACGTAAAGCTCACTTTTTCAGTTCATTCCCCGTCCACGAATCCCTCGAATTCTTCTTCTTCAGTGTCCGAATTGAACAGTTGGGCGAGTACGGCATCCAACATGCCCGGCTCCCTCTCGTCATTATCCGAGTCAGTGTCGCTGAGCGCTGTGTACAACCAGTATGGATCAACCAATTAACCAATTGATCCATATATAAGGCGCTCCGGATTATAAGGCGCACTGTCGTTTTTTGAGAAAATTAAAGGCTTTTAAGTGCGCCTTATAGTGCGGAAAATACAGTAGGTCTACATTAACAGATATTCTGTTAATGGTAGCTGGAGCTAACAGATATTCTGTTAATGTAGGTCTACAGCTGCTTGCTGTTGTTTCAGTACTGAACTATAACAGAATATCGAGTGGAACTTTTCAAAACACAAGGTGTACTCCTGTTGTTGTTTATGTCTGTGCGTGAGTATAAATTGAGCAGATTAAAGTTGTTTGTTGCAAAAACTAGATTAATTTAGAGGGGAAAACACATTTGATATAAATACAACCCAATAGATACAAGCTAGATAAGAGTACGACAAAATAAAAAATTGTTGTTTTATGGTAAGTTTGTTTTTTATATTGTGGAGATTTCTTTGCGTACCACCACAGGGAGCCCATGTACCACCGGTGGTACGCGTACCATAGTTTGAGAACCACTGGTCTAATGAAAATGAACACACATATAGGCCGAAATACACACACATGCACAAACAGGATCCTATGGACATGCATTAATGGAGAGGTCTCAGAGTGAGGAAGCTGCCCACAGCTGTGTTTCATTTAATAAACATGTCATCTTTTAGAAAGACATCACAGGAAAAAGAACAATACCAAACAAGTAGAACAGGACATCACACACCCACTGAACATTCACCTCGCCCCATTTCCCCAGGACAGAGGTATAGAACAATGAGGTGCATTAAGGCTTGCAGAGGAGGAGGATCCTGATCCCTGCGGTTATAGCAGCCCTAAACAGAAGGCCTCGCTGAACCAGAGTGGGAACTCTTGACTTTTTGTCTATCTCTGTTTGTGTTATACTCTGTTTTCTGTGTATGTATGTTGTGGGACTTGTCTGTTTGGACAGTAACGGTGCGGTGGAAAAGAATTTCCCCTTGGGGACAATGAAGTCTAAAGTCTAAAATAGCAGATATTGTGGATGTGTTGGTTTCTATTGAGAGTGCCAAACTATTTACCTTTGTAAAGGTGCTGAAAACCTCAGGAGACACCTTGAGGCTACTCTTCTTTTCCCCATCATACACAAGCTTGGATCCCACTGGAGTGTTGGCCTGGGTAATGATGGCTTTGTCAAAGCCAGTGCAGTTGCTGCTCAGCTGAGATCTGGGGAACCACAAGGACTTTGTTCAACCATGTACAAGAGACTCTGAAGCTTTGATACTCCCTCAAATGAGGAATCTATTCTGATCCTGCCCAGATTTTGTCCCATTGTTTGTTTCTTTATGTGACCAGTCCAGCAGAGGAAAAACGGCCTCTGTTATAAACATTGACATGTAAGACTAGTCTTGCATATTTAGCTAGTGCATACTAGCCAATTAGAGACAGAGTATCCCTTCACCATCCTAAACACTGCAGCATACTACTGAATGTTGTCAATCAATTATTGGTGTGACTCAGAGGAGATTTAAAAGTGGGTATACCCTATGGAGACTGAAAAATAAGTGGGTTTACTCAGTGTACCTGCATATACCCTGCACTACACCACTGGTTTCAGCTACTTTAAATACCAAAACATGCAGAGAGTTATTGTTGCACAGAGTTGTTATTTCTGTCTTCTCTCCTCCCTTTACTTACCCAGCTAGTAAAGTTACACGGTAAAGGCCCAGACTGCACATCTAGCACCCCTCTTTCTTATAAGAAGTGACTAACTCTCATTCTGTGGAGGAACCTTTGATTATCCTTATTTGAGCCATGGTGTAGATTTTGGTCTCCTTTTTTCCACTGTATCACAATGCCAAGTTGTGTTTGTTGGCTTTCATCTAAATGAGGAATGGAGAGCAAGGAAGTCTGTTGCCTGGGCTTTATATGTATGTTCATGTCTCCCATGACAATCAGTGGTGTTCCATCATCAGGGATTTCTGAGAGTAGCACGTCCAGTTCCACAACAAAATACACCCAGTTTACAGTTTGGTGGGCAGTAAATGATAGCACATGTACATTTTAACCTGTTCCACATCAAACAGAGCAGGGTGTGTGAACACTGTGTCAACAGAAAGAGCAGTTGGTATGGCTGTGTTTTCGAGGCGGATCCAAGCGCAAGTGCCTGGATGTCTGACAGTGCTTGGATGAATTCAGTTATGTTCACAGCAAACTGAAGAGGATCATATATCACTGAAAAAGGTGCACTGGTGGCGCAGTGGTTAGTGCGCATGCCCCATGTATGGAGGCTGTAGTCCTCAAAGGGCGCGGCCCGGGTTCGTATCCAGCCTGTGGCTCCTTTCCTGCATGTCATTCCCCACTCTCTCTCTCTCCCTAATTTCCAGCTCTATCCACTGTCCTATCTCTCCATAAAGGCACAAAAAGTCCCACAAAAATAAATAAAATGAATGAAGAAAAATGAAAGACTGAAAGAAGTAGAAATTATTTCTACTCAACTTTAAAAAATAGTACAGAGGAAAAATAAGAGTGGACAATTTATGTTATTCTGTTTTATTTTTGAGCTCTGAGTCTGTAGGAAACTCAGAGCTCGGTTTTTTTTATGGCAAATGGTTTTCATTTATATAATTTTTGTGAAGGGAAAAACATAAAGGTGTAAGTTTACATGTCTTGTTTCCACATACAACAGTGCTTGTTTTACTTACCATCCTCCTTTGAGCCTATAGATGTTGGTGTATTCCTGCTTTAATTGGCATTTAATCCATTTAAAATGTTGCATTTTTTTTAGAACAGGCCCAAACACAGGTAATGGTTTTAACAAGTTGAAATATGTAATTTATGTGCCATACTGTTTAACCTTTTAATCACATTTGGCCATCTTATTAGGCACTATGTTGGGTTTTATTGGTCATGGGAGCTTCCCACATGGCTTTTTTGACTTCCTTTACCACCCAGCATCATGTAACTTAAAAGTAAGTCATTCTTACCTCCTTTTGATTACTTATTTTAAATATCTGTAGAGCAAGATCCATACCATGCTCTGACAATTATGTTTAATTTCCCCAATTTTGTTCTTTTATTTTTTCCCCTTTAAGTTCAAAACCAAGATAATCTTTTTTTTTTTTTTTTTTTTTTTACCTGAATTTTTGATAATTGTCCTCTTGCTTCTGCCAGCCTTGAGAGTAACCCTGCATTATTTTTTCGGTCATATTCCTGTGGGGGAAAAAATACATACAAACTAAGATACTCATTCACAACCAGGTGAGTAATCCCTGTGTTTCACTGACATGCCTTCATCTGATGGCAGTCATGAACAAAAAAAAGGTCACGTTAGGAGAAGCAGTGACCGTGTTTGCACTCACTTGCAGCCTTTGCAGAGGGCAAAGGTCTTGGGGGCTCTTTTCCTCTGAGGGGCTGGTAAGAACTGGTCCACATTGCTGTTGCAAAAGAAAAACAGGACAGATGTGTTGATTCAGAAGCCAGGCACAAATCAGATAATGTAAACGGGTGTAACACAACATTCTGCACCATGCATATATACACTATGAATCACTACCCACATTTACAGTTATGAACAACTAGTATGCCTTTACAAACACCTGAGCAGAGACTTTTGCTATAGCCTACATAACTACATCATGTCATCTGCAGATGTATCTCTTGTGTGTAGAAAAAGTTGTGGTCTACGGTGTTACTTTTACTTTTGTGTATTGTGTGTTTGTGTTAAGGGCAGGAGATATTTATATAGATAGCCTATATAATTGAGAGATTTTCACATAACGAGCTCGAACTCACTCAGTCCTGATCTCAGAATTACGAGATCCTGATGTAAAAGTAACACCGCAGACCACAGCTTTTTTAACCTACGAGACATAGGATCTGATAATTGCAAGATCCTGGTCGTAATTAGGTTATGAGATCAGCATCCCTATCCTAGTCAGGCACAATTAGGCTATGACGCACCTCACAGCTTCTCTGTTCACTTGTGGTCTAGTCGAGTCTTTTGAATAAAAACTCCTCTCCATAAGGTTTAATTAATTAACAATATATCACCGTTTTATACAAATGTATTTATTTGAAAAAATGAGGGAGAAAGGCTCTCTTAAAGTGGCACTGCCGGCCTGGTCTGGTCCTGCAGCATCCGGTGGTACAGTAAAGTGAGCATGAGAGGGGGAGATCAATTTTACTATCACTTCATTTGTTTATCTCACGTTATTTTCATGCTATTATTCAGTAATATAAGAAAAGAAGCCAAGAAAACAAAACTCTATCACTAAAAAGGCCCTATTTTATTTCTCCCTACTCAACCTGACAAACCACACAACACCGCTGCTCATTAACTGCTCTTTGTGTGGGAGGAGGGCAGATAACAAGTGAGTTACACTAACCATACCGATAAATATCAGGTTTAAATAAAGAAAATCTGTAAAACATAACGCTGTATTCCAGTTTTCTTTAAGTGTATGAATATTATGATTGGAGGTAGAATTAGTTGCAATAAAAGGGGCACCAGCTAAAAATCTTGCCTAGGGCAGCAAGTGGATTAAGGGCAGCTCTGTTACCATGGTATCATTGTAACACAGAATCATAAAGTGTATTAGTAGAGGAACTTGGGCCCCTAAAAGTTGAGATACCCCTACCCGAGGCAGAACAAAGCACAACCATATTTTTTCATAACTTGAACATGTCTAGTTTATGAAACGGATGGTTGTATACAAATATTTTACTGCAAAATAACTTTTTTTGGATGTTTTATTGCATCTTACCAAAAAACGAAAATAGGTCAAATGAGGGCTTCTCCGAAAGAGACAGCTCTAACCTCATCACATGTATCTCCGAGAATCAGAATCTCACCAAATTTGGACATAATGTTTACAGATAGTTATCAGTTACAATTAAGCAACGTTTTTATGAATACCATTTTCAATTTTTGAAATTATCACACTTAAACACACATGTAGTTTAGGCGGGAATTGAAAATTGAAACAAAAATTCAAAAGGTATGTATATCAAAGTCTGTAATTTTTTAAGTAAGTACACCAAACATTAAAATGTGTCATTTGTCTCTTCTTTAGACTGATATCTCAACATAAAAGCAAGTAATTTGACATTTCACTTGACCCTATGCTGCCACCAGCCCCTAACAGGAAACTAGTGCAGTCATTGCATTTTATAGTTACTCCTAATACATTTTGTCTCATATTTTCTATCTTACATATGATTTAAATGATGACACTTGGAGTCAACTCGCTGCCTTCAGTTATATTGTCACCTATGACATTGTTTCTATTTCATTGTAAAAAATTAAAGCATTGTCTTGCCATCAGTTGTGAAATACTAATAAACTAAAAAACAGTATTGATCTATATAACCTTGAGTTCTTAGAATTTGAATATACTTCATATAGTCTATTTGTATATCGCCCATACAGCCTGTTGTAGTTTTTTAAAGCAATTCAGTCATATAAAGATGGTGTGTAGTCACCATATCTCCTGCTTTTAAGAAGAACCCTAGTTACTCCAGAGGATACAAAGCTACAAAGGGTACATAATTGTACTTCTATCAAGCTTAAGGTACAGAAAAACCCAAAGGTTTCACTCTCATATCATTACTTCAAAAGACCAGCAGGGGCACTGTTCCAGCCTTGGTATGGTTTCCGGGCTTTACTCAACAGTAACATTAGATGTAGCCTACATTTTGTACACTACAAGCGGTGATTAGTTTTCCTGCTTTGTCAACCTTGTCTACAAATACCTCGTTAAAAAAATAATGAAGAGGCAAGAAACTTCAGGGGTAAGTAACTAGACCTTTAACTTTTTAAAATGTTACTGTTAACATAAAATAGCTTGATGTCTTTGACAAGGCTAACTCAGGCTATTTTAAATGAATTAACTTGAACTAAATACATCAAGCACATCATGGCTTGTTGCTAGAATAGCTATTTTAGACTGATGTTGGTCTTTTAGTCGGCTCTCCGTTTCTATGGTTACCGCCATTTCTGTTAGTTTAAAATTTCTGCTGGAGCCAAATTATGTGTTTGTTTTGTGTCATGGTATTTTCCTTATGGTTGTGTGTGTTGGCCCTCCACTGGGCACTATGTGTAGCCTGGGCGTACGCTGTGGTTAAAGCAAGGCTCCAGGTGAGGTGGGACAGGTGATTGAATGGAGGCAAACAGTTTTTTTTTAACATGTCAGCCTGTCGGAGTTAAACGCATCCAACGCGGATTTGTTTGTTTTATTTATAGATGTAGTGTTTTGTCATATTTTCATTTATTGATAAGAAGTGTTTAAAAATAAATGGATTGAAATATCCAAATCACATCATCAATGGACTGTGTTCATTTCTTCGAGCTAAGCATGCGTCCGAAAGCTTCCACATTCATCCCTCCAGTGACTTTTCTAAACAATATTGGGGTTTGTTACAATTGGTCACTACAATTTAAGTAAAAAAAACTTTGCTTTAATGGAACTCGTCGGATCTTCGTTCGCTGGGTCTAACAGCAGATCGATTGGACAACGTTGGATTTCTTTGTTTCCTTGTGGATTATAATTGAGCTTCGTGGGTGTTAATTCGGCTGGAGCCGTATCAACACCAGTACATCGTAAACTGAGCACCTGGACACAGTGCACTCTTGGTCGGTCATCCACGGACAGTGAAAAGGACACGAATCAGGTACGCGTAGCGCTACAAAGATTATGGCCATGTTTTATTTGTGTGCACACGTTTATTTTGACAATCAAACCCGGTATCTAGGTTTCAACTGGGGATTAAAAGAGCTCCGATTTATGTATGGTATTTCTGTTGTGGTATTTGATTATTATCATGAGTGATGATTTACTTTATTTGATTAGCTAAATATGGATGGTGAATTAAGTTTGCAAAACAAAGGTTTTGCTGGTGATGCCTGCTGCTGCTCAAACACACACCACTGCGGGTGCGCAAGGGGTTGACAACGAAACACGTGATCCAAAAACGTTCAGTGAAATTGACCCAAAAAGCATTACTGGACAAACTGGACAAACTTCAGAAGACACGGAAAGCAAAACTAAACAAGGCATCAGAGTTTAAAAAGACAATACAAAAAAAAAAGACAAATCATATCAAACTGAGGTTCACTGTACATTCGACAAATACAAAACTCTATATGACGAGGCAAAGGAAACCCACCAAACTCTCATGCAATTTCTACCTCTCGATGAAATGGAGAAAAACGAAATACGGTTTCAAGCAAAAATGTTGAGTTTCAATGAATTTACTGCCGATGTGAAAAGATGGATGTCTCAAGCAATTTCAGGATCTGAAAGAAACGAGGAAAGAGTTGAGAATGAAATAAATCCGAGTGACAGCATTTCAAATCTTGGAACCAAAGTTTCAAGCACAAAATTAAGCAGAAGAAGTCATACAAGTTCAAGGACCACAAATCAGCAAAGCTGATACTGACTCTGCGCGCATCCAGGCAGAGGCAGAGAGGATCTGTTTTAAAGGAAAAGCACGTACTGGAGGAGCAAGCTGCGTCGCTCAGGAGGAGACAAGAGAAACTTGAGTTTGAAACGGAGATGGCAGCCTCAGCAGCAAAAATAGCTGTGTTATCAGCTTCCAGTCACCAAGCTTTTTCAACAACAAAATCAAATGGAATGGAATCATATTTTGAAAAAGGAAAACAATGAAAGGGCACGTCCACCACTTCATGCCCTATTCTCAAAGAATACAGACCAAAACCTGTGGATTCAAATAGACCACCACTTAAACAATATCAACAAAATCCATATGCTTATATGAAAACAGCACAAACCGAAGTTGAAGACAAAAATGGAATTTCAACAATAGTGCACAAACGGCCAACAGACAAACCTGTGTTGAACCCTTATGAACAAATAACAAATCCTGCATTTCAGTTCCAACCGTCTTTCCCAGAAAATCACAACACACCAGCTTTGTACAATATACTGGAAAAACAAAATGAAATCACCTCACTTCTAATAAAGCAGCAATCTTTGAATTTACTGCCACCAACAGAAATTCCATATTTTGATGGTGATCCTCTGCAGTACAATACTCTCATCAGGGCTTTTCAACAACAAAGGGGACTGCTTATATTACCTGGATAAGTATACAAGAGGTCAGTCAAGAGATTTAATTCGTAGCTACCAGCATATGGCTCCAGACAGAGGATATTCTGCAGCCAGGCACCTGTTACAGGAGCACTTTGGGAATGAACACATAATCACTGCAGCATACATGGTAAAAGTACTAAAATGGCCTGAAGTTAAACAGGAGGATGTGAAATCTTTGCAAGCATACGCACTGTTTATACGAGAATGTTGTAATGCAATGGAGGACCTACAGTACATGAGAGAGCTCAATATGCCTGCAAATATGAAAACGATAATTCTCAAACTTCCGTACAAACTTTAAGAAAAATGGAGAATATTCTCCA